GTTTCTGTCAAAGCTTTTGCAACTTGTGGGTCCATCATTGGAGGTGGATCAAATGCAGACGATATAACACTAGGGATTGAACCTTAGGGAGGAATCACAAGATTTGAATTTAAAGTTTGATTCTAGGTTCCATCATGCAGGTTTGGGGAATCATGAGATGCCATTATGCCTTGATGAAAGAAAGATTGTAAGATTTTGAATGTTAAACTAAGGTGTGTTCCATGCTCACTGCACTAATTTGATAAAAGTAAACTTAAGGGGTTCTTAGGAAGTATGTGTATAGTTACTTGTTTGATGATCAGATGCCCTTTTTTAGGTTTTCATACAATTATTTATAATACATCTCAAATTGTAACTGACTTATGTACATTAATGGTAAGAATCTTGGTTATGAATGCTATGCAAGAATCTTAGTGATTGATGACTTTTAATGACTCTATTGATTGAGCGTTACTCTTATTCAAATGAATTTGGGCACTATTCAATCTTAATTAGTTGCTCGACTCTTATGTTGTTCAGTTGTTTGGTTTGCTCGGTACAGATTAATAATATGTTCTTATCAGATCTAATAAACTCTCAATCTAACACCTTTAATGACCGCAAAAGGTAGCCAAAACCACCACTTTCTTTGCGAATCAAGTAATTTGGAGAGGATTTTAAGGAGAAGTTCATCAATTTAAGAGAAGTGTACGGCTGATGGGGATCAGGTTTCAGGTTTTGGTTTTGAAATCTTTGGTGGGAATAGGAGGATCGGATAGTAAAGACAACATGTTTTAAAAGTCTAGTATTCTTAATCAAGCCACAGGTCTGACTAGTTTGGTCAGCTCTTCTTCAATGGCGGGTTAAGGTCTGTGATTGGTTTCTTTGATGAAAAAGATAAAGTGCCGCTACAACCACCTATGGTTATCCACTGGGTAGATAGAGAAAGAGATTGTTAGGCAACAAATGTTATTAAAAAGATTAATTTCATCAAAGTTCATGCTAGATTCGATTTATGTGGCAAATTTGAAACTCTTTTTATCCATGTTAGTTTGGACAATGTCGAGTTTAGTAAAGGCTTGCAGAATGACTGAAGTTGAACACTGATGATTGTTCTCTAGGTAAACCGGGTTCAGTTGGTGTTGGAGGTGTATTAAAAGACACTCATGGCTTGATTGAATGTATTTTCTTCCATTCTGTTGGGATCCTAGACTCCAATGAAGCAGAACTTCTTGCTATATTTTCAAGTATTGAGATTTATTTTGACAATTGGATTGTCCGTTAATTGTGAAATATGATTCAGAAAATGCTTTGTCTTGAATCCTTCAAAAGTTTAGAAATGATAGGGAAAATTTAACAAGTTTGATCATATTCTGGCTCAACTTATCAGGTTCAATTTGCCCATGTTTCCAAAAATGACAATAATTTTGCACATGATTTAGCAAAGAATGGAGTTGATGTGTATGTCCTTTCATAGCTGGGATTTAACTTTGTTCTTGTCAATCTGAAGTAGGTTATGGACGTATTGGATTATCCTCTAAGTTTGATGAGTTTTGTCCCTTTTATTATTATTGATTAATAATAATAATAATAATAATAATATTAAGGCGACTGATAAAAAAAATTTAAAATACTTTACTCATAAATTTAAATATCAGTTCGATATAGATTCATCTTGGTTGACTCTCAAACCCTTGACTTTTCGTCTTTATTGGATCAAATACTGAACCGAATCTGAAAAATCTTGGTCAGGGATATTAATATTGTATAGTAGCATGTGAGTGGAAGGTGGGGTTTGCAAATTACAATTATGCGGCGTAGTGGTTCTAAAATTCTATTATTGGGGCCTAAAAAAAGTAAAAAGATCATCCTGGAAGATGACTCGTATAATGTAGAAGAAGCCTAGTTTTTTATTCAGTGTGGAGATGAGCACGCAGGACTTTAACCATCCGGTTCAAAATCTACTATGATTGGTGTGTCGTTTTAGTAAATCTTTCTGGAATGTGTGAGGTCGTCATAGACGTGGACATGTATTTTTAAGGTTATCAGATTGTGTTAACTTTGTAATTTCTATTGCCGAAACGTTTGTCCTTAATGGGATAGGGCATTTGTGAAATTTAAATTGATTTGAAATAAAAAAATTACTGGATTTGAGATTCATCAACTTCTATATTAAATCATTATGGCTTTAAATGTGGAGAAAGAAAATATACAAGTCAAACCTTATTATTATTAGCAATAAATACATAATTTAACCTCTTAATTTTAATAAAAAAAATTTTGCAAATACTCTAAAATTTAAAATTGATTTTATAACGCTTTAAATCTTACTTTTTTAATGATTATATATTTTTTTTAAAACGAAAAATAACAATTTTTAAGATTTTTTATTTTAATATGCAAAGTATTTATTTGATATGTGGTTTATAAAAATTTTAGAATAATAATTTTAAATTTTAATTATCCAATAAGTGTTAAATTTATCCAATTTTACACGTTATGACAATTAATTGGTCAAATAAAATATTCAATAGGTTTAATCTTATATTTGGATTGTTCAATGTGTCAAAATAAAAGTTAAAATATTACAAAATTTTTCGTAAAAAAGTACAAGAGAGAATTTACGTAGAGAGCCTTGTTATTAATCCCTCTATTCCATAATTTTTGCTTTATTTTCCTTCTTCACATGTCCCAAATTGTTGTCCTATTTTAGAAGTAAATAATATTTAAAATTTACTATTTCACTTTTATTTAATATGATTCCTTATCAATAAATATAATAGTCAAACTACTACATTGTGAATAATTAAATCTCAATATAAGCAAAATTATGATATCAACTTTTAATCTTCCAATAAAATTCAATTTAATCAATTTTTTTTTTTTTAATAATTTCATGAACAATTTGATATGGAACATTTAATTTTTATGGATACTAACATAAGGGTATATTAGAAAAAAAAAAGCAAAAATTATAATTTAACTATATTGACTAAATTTTTTTAATATAAATCAAATTAAGACAATTATGAGACGGAAGGAATATTATTATTATTATTATTGAGTATTAAAAAGAGGGAACTTATATCTCAATCAATGTCCTCTAAGAACGAGTAATTTTCAAATTGTGTAAAGTTTTAAACACATTTATTGATTTACTTGAATTAAATACTTTTCATAGTTTTACCAACCGCTATTGTTATTATTTTTTAAAAAAACATAGGGGATTTTTAGGTGTGGCTAGGGCCACCGATCAGAAGACACTCTATAAGGCACACTAATCTCCGAGTACTGATAGAAGACGCGTTGCCCTCTTTTTCTATAGGATTGTAGGATTACAGTCGTCAGCCCACGACAGTAGAGTCGGCTTAAAGCAGCAGAATCAATGTTTAGACAGGATCGAACCTGAATCAAACAGGTGAATGATCAATATCTTTACCAGTAGGTCACCACTGGAGAAATTCTTAGGTAGACTCAGTCTACCACGTCAGGGTATAGACTCACATAATAAAATACAGCCACATCAGTATTTTACTTTTAGAAAAACTTATTCATTATTAATTCTTTCACGTTTCAATTTGGCTAGAGATAAAAAAAGGTAGTTGTATTGGTCTAGAAGTTACTGATGTATACAGAAAAAAAAAAAGCTAAATGCTGATGTAGCTGTATTTTATTAGATGAGTCTATAGTTGACGTGGTAGATTAAATCTACCTAAAAATTTCTCACAAATACAGCTACTTTTCTTATCACTGACCAAACAAAAAAAATTTGAAAGAATTAATAAATAATAAATTTAAAAAAAAGTAAAATGCTGATGTGGTTATATCTTATTGGATAGATCTATAAACAGACGTGCCACGAGATAGAATAAGTCTATTTAAGAATTTCTCCGCCAACTGGGATGGTAACCGATGTTATTATTTGGTTGTACAAATCCTCCAAACTAAATAAAAGGAACCGTATATATCCCTACCGAAGAATTCAAAGCACCCTTCATTAATATGTCGTGTACTTTATATATAAATACAATTTGGAATAATTATTGTATATTGTTTTTTTTTTTTTAAATTGAATAATAGCCCATCTCTATCTCTTACCGCAAACATAAAAATAAAGTTAGGAACACTTTACTAATGAGACACAAATGGATATCTCCAAATCTCTCAGACAAAAGACACAAGCAGAAGCAAGTAACGGCGTGAGTTAACCGTTAACTCAGTCCGAACAAAGCTCTGCCACTGTGGGGTGTGTGAGTGACAAAGATGCCAATATGGCATGCGAAGCCAGCCCACCTTCCCTTATAAAAAAATGTGCAATTTCTATCGACACCTCATGTCACGTCCTCCTGTAAGTAGGCCAAGTACCGGGTGAGACAGAGAGGTCGAGTTAGCTTTTTTGGAGTGGATTGGATTGGATGTCATTTGTAGATTCTTGAGCTTACTTGTTACTCCTACGCAACTCCTCGATCCTTAACTTCTTTTTTCCATTACCTCACTCACTTAACTTTCCCTTTCTCTCTATCTCTATCTCTCTATCTCTCTCTCTCTCTCTCTCTTTTCCTTGTTCTTCTTTGGATTTTTGACTTGCTATCTAGAACACTTGTAACTCCCCATCAGTTTCAATTAATTTCCTAATTTTGTTCTGTTGTCCTTTTCCATTTCAGGAATCTTTTCTGGGTTTTTGGTCTCTAACTCTGTATTCAGCTCTGAGATTTCTTTAATCTCATTTTCTAGATCACTCTTTCTTTTTTACCATTATTTTTTTACGCAATTTCTGGAACCTTGTCTTCTGTGGGTATACTTCCTTTTTTGTTTCTTATGTGAAAATTTGTTGTAAAAGCGAACTTTCTTCTTCTAGTAGTCATAACCTTCTCTCTATTTGCATACCCTCATCTCTTTTTTTTTTTTTTTTTTTTTAACTTCTTCTTCTATGTAGTCATCAACCTTCTCTCTATTTCAATACTCCTCAATCGTCTTTTTTTTTTTTTTTGTTTTTTCCAGTATCGTAGATGTGGATTTTTTTTTTTTTTTTTTTTTCATATCTAGATTGGATTTTCTTTCCATATATTTGGTTGTAGCACCGAAAAGATTCTCTTCGTACTTGCTTGTCGCTGTTACTAATAAATCTGTGGTTAGAGGTCTAGTACCCATTTAAAACCATCTATGCAAACCCTGATTTAAAGATTCTAGTTAATCGCAGTTTGCTGTGTTGTGTAGAAGCTGGCTAGTAGATTTGAAGAAAATAAATAACGATGGGTTTTTTCTCTTCGACTGTTGCATTAATGTTAGTATTATTTTCAATGGCGAGTGAAGTGAGTTGCATTGGTGCTAACTGGGGTACACAAGCAACCCACCCACTTCCTCCAGATACTGTGGTGAGGCTATTGCTAGACAATAGAATCCAAAAAGTTAAGCTTTTTGATGCAGATTATGATACCCTAAGAGCCCTGGGTAAGTCTGGCATTGAGGTCATGGTAGGAATCCCAAATGACTTGCTCGCATCTATGGCTTCAAGTGTCAAGGCTGCTGAGAAATGGGTTTCCAAAAATGTCTCTACACATATCTCCACAAATAATGTCAATATCAGGTCAGTTTTTAGTCTTGTTCCTTTAGATCTTTCGTTAAGGGTGGAAAAAGGGGAAGCGAGACAATGTTTCTAGTATAAGGCATAAGGCTATAATTTGGAACTTGTTATATTCATTAACTACTTCTACTATGTTGAAATGTTTAGGTTAAATGGTTTAATTGCTTGGTGCGTTATATATTATTACATTTTTGGAAGCATTGATATTAATTTGTGAAGTTTATTATCCTTTCCTCCCACTTCATATGCTGTTTTTTAACCAAGCAAAGCTATGTTCTGCTTGAAGATGGTCAATTTGAATTTTTTTGATTGGCACGAACAAATTTATTCTTGCTGCTTTTTGTATAGATATTTGTTGGGTTATTTGATGTTTGTTCCTTTTCAGAAGGGCATGCTTGTACCCTGTTTTTGGGAGTAGACGCTACCTTGGCTTCCTCATTGTTACTGATATGTTTAGCATTGGTGTTTTTACTTCAACTGGAATAATGTTTGTTAACTTTCCACATTGTATTTTACTAGAACTTTTCCAACTTTGTTTCATGATCATTTTGCTAGTTGTGGCTATCATGTTTAATAATCATTAAGGAGCAGTTTTATGAGCTACACTTTATGATGATAGTTTTTTTTTTTTTTTTTTTTGTTTTGGTGGTGGGGGGGGGGGGGGTGGGGGGGGGGGGGTGGGGGGGGGGTTTAATTTAAAGGGCAAAGAAGGCCTATCAAAATAAACATAATACAACCGACAAGTTTCCTGGTTGATGAGGCTTAGGGGGGGGGGGGGGGGGGGGGGGTTTATTTAAAGGGCAAGAAGGCCCTATCAAAAAACAAAACCGACAAGTTTCCTGGTTGATGATGGCTTACCCCCAACAAATTTCACCAATGACATAAGGGAAATACCAAGCAGAGGAGACTCCAAAAAATTGTTGCACATATACAGGGAAAAGCATGGTTCACTATTCAATTGCTAATTATAGACTTCATTTCATACTTCAAAAAAATCCTCATGAAAAAATGGCATTTTCCCTTTTCTCATCTACCCAATTCCCCGTCACTCTTCCATGACAAGCTATGAAGCTTTGACACTTTATTTTTATAATACATCGGCTGGAACATATCATGACTCCCAACATGACATGACATGCATGACATATGCTAATTCTGCATTGTGTATGTAAGTGTCCTTCATATGTGCACATGTGCATGCCTCACAGCTGAGAAACATATCATGAAATTCGTGGATGTACCGCACACGATTTTGTTTCATTTGGCATTAGGAGGTCAGAGACGATATGTACTTGCTGGAACTTGATTCTCATACATGCCTTGGTCTATTCTTTGGCTGTTGTGTGGGTGATAGTATTGGAGTACATCTTTATGCTCAATTTTGTTTCATTTGGGAAAAATATAAATTTGGAATTACAAGGGAAGTTCGTGGCTTTTTCAGGCTTCTATATTCCATAATTTATGCATAATTCTGCTTAGATTCTCATAAGGTCATCTTTTAATTTGTTCCTTTTATAGACCTCATAAAGGTAACTTCCACCAGCCTTGATTCATAATTTCTTTCTGTTGGAAATCATAGACTGTTTTAGTCTTTTTATTTGCAGTTCAACTCATTCAGTAAATAGAATGACTTTCACACTTTCAACTTTTTGATGTGGAGATTGAAGTTCAAGGTTTCATGGAATTATGGTGGATCAGTCCTTAACATTACGTCCTTTAGTTAGCATTAACCTAATATTGATAATGTCAAGTTGATAAGTCAACCTAGCACAATAGAGATCTTCATCGGCATCTGCTTTATCTGCCTGCTGATATCTGCTCTCCTACATAAGATAATGTAACTATTTGTGTGTTTTTCTAGAATCTTCCCAGAATTTTCATGATTAATAATAGTCCTTATAGTGTACTAGACATGATTGACTTTTAAACAGGGTTGTGAATCATTACTGTTTTTGCAAGTGTAAAAATGGTTGTTTCTCAACTTGTTTTATCTGTATATAGACACAAGAAGCATGTGTCATAATTTTAAAAGTATATTTAATTGTTTCTGATGAAATAGCTTTTTAAATGGGTTTACAAGAGAAGAGTACAGGTTCTTGTAAGCTTCTACTATACCTTTCTCATGTGGGATTAAGTGTATGTTTGTAGGTGTAGGACTCTGCTGTTGCATTATTTATTGGATTAACTTAACAAAACTTACCTTTGTATAGATATGTTGCAGTCGGAAATGAACCTTTTTTGGAAACATACAATGGAAGCTTTATCCAATCGACCTTTCCAGCTCTTCAGAATGTTCAGTCTGCGCTTATAAAGGCTGGGTTGAGCAATCAAGTAAAGGTGACTGTACCACTGAATGCTGATGTATATGAGAGCTCAACTGGCCTTCCATCTGGGGGTGACTTTCGAGCTGATATCCATGATCTCATGATTAACATTGTCAAGTTCTTGAGTGATAGCGGATCACCATTTACTGTGAATATCTATCCTTTCATAAGCCTCTACATTGATCCCAACTTTCCGGTTGAGTACGCATTCTTTGATGGAAATGCAACCCCTGTAAATGATGGTGGGACATCCTATTACAACATGTTTGATGCTAATTATGATACTCTTGCTTCCGCCTTACAAAAGAATGGATTTGGAAACTTGCCTATCATTGTTGGAGAGATTGGATGGCCTACTGATGGAGATAAGAATGCTAACTTAGTTTATGCTCAACGATTCAACCAAGGTTTTATGTCACATATTTCAGATGGGAAAGGAACCCCATTGAGGCCTGGACCAATTGATGCTTATTTATTTAGTTTGATTGATGAAGATGCTAAGAGTATTGATCCAGGGAACTTCGAACGCCATTGGGGGATATTTACATATGATGGAAAAGCCAAGTACGCCCTTAACCTTGGTACTGCAAATTCAGGACTTTTAGTTGAAGCCAAAAATGTCCATTACCTGGAGCGGAAATGGTGTGTGATGAAGCCATCGGCCAAGCTTGACGATCCAAATGTCGCACCAAGTGTCAGCTTTGCTTGTGGACTTGCTGACTGTACAAGCCTTGGATATGGGACATCTTGTGGAAATTTGGATGCTAGGGGGAACATTTCATATGCGTTGAACAGTTACTATCAGATACAGAATCAGGTTGACACTGCATGCAAGTTTGAGAACGTTTCAATGATCACCAAAAATGATCCGACAACTGGAACTTGTAGATTTGGGATAATGATCGAACAATATTATGGAGGTGCAGGATTCCCTCAGAAGTCATTGGGTTTGGCTGCAGGTTTGATTCTGTTTTTGCTAACAATTCTATGAACTCAAGGGCTCCCATATTTTAGATGTACCATTTCTCGTCGATATGCTGTAATGATAGCTAAGAAAATTGCAGAAATTACATGGCTGTAGTCAATTTTTTTTAGCAGTCCAGAAACCAGGGTTTGGTTTAATTTGAATGTTTAGTACTGAAATTTGATTCCTCATTTCTAGAACTAGATTGTAGGAAACATTTTTCATGCATTTATAGTAAATGCAGTTTGTGAAATGGAGACTTAAATAGATTGTATTCAGCGTAGTTGGCAGCAAAAGAATATGGCTTCTGAGAGTGAACCTAATAAACAACGGCCACGGTCAAATGGTCTGAGGGGGCCAGGCATTGCTTGAAGCTACTTTTTATGTATCCATCACCATTCATTACTTCTCTCTCGAAAGGAAATGGAGAGAAGTTTAATACATATAATGATTGTGCAAAATTGAAGTCTTCTCATTGGTGACCCATTAAAGTTTATCATTCTAAAGAAGTTCCAATGTCACAGTTGAAGACGAAAGAGTTCTCTAACTGATTCTTAACCACAGATCTTTGGACATGCATGTATATGTTGTGTATTCTTTTTCTTACCAACTTATATACTTGCTATTTATAAGCTTAATCGACAAAATTAGCTCTTTTAATAGTTTTTACTTGTCTTAGTAGTTGTCAGCTATTTGACCAGTGTTATATCAAATGTTGAAAAGAGCGAGTAATGTTTATATTTCGTCTTCTCAAACTCTAGGTGCTAGTATAAAAAGCTATAAATAATAGAAATTATCAGCTATTTGACCGGTGTTATATCAAATGTTGAAAAGAGTGAGTAATGTTTATATTTGGTCTTCTCAAACTTTAGACAATTGTATAAAAAATTACGTTATTCAAAACTATAAATAATTAAAGTAGTATTTTGACTTCGTTAAAACACTAAATATTACCGAGTGTTCAATGGCTTAGCTTTTAAATTAGTGTCTAGAGTTTGAGAAAGCAAATTACAAAAGGTTTCTCTTTTTAATGTTCCAAGAAATGTTAGTAATAGCTAATTTTGCTTAACCTGTCATTAAATAATATAAAAATATACGTTCAATGCATTAAAAAAAAAAATATAATAATATCAGCCTCTCACAATGAAGAAAGCCCATCTCCTAACGCACAAGCTCTATTCCATGTGCTTGTCAACCTAAAATTTATTTATTTTTGTTGATGATAGGATAAAATAGAAGGTGTTCGGCTGCTTATAAAGCGTGAGAAAGTGAAAGAGAGGAGATGGGTTTCATTGTGCAAGTGAATGATAAATTGGATTGTGAGTGGCAATGGAGACGGCTTAGCCGTTATGGAGCTGGCCTTCGGCCGATTTGAACCAAAAAAGATAACGAGTCTACCCTCAAATCAAACCCTAACCCTTTCTTTGGATGGGAGGTATTTTTCGAAGGAATTAAAATAATTATGGAAAATATCTTGGGAAAAAGGAAGCTCAGAAAAGTGTAGGGAAAATTGAAGAAAGTGATATTTTACCTAGGTATATATGTTCTGAATCTCTTCAAATTGGAGAGAAAATAATAGAAGTATGACTTTTACTTATTTTTATTAAATTACCCAAATACCACAAATCTATATATTTATATCATTATATAAGGAGAATCGTTGATTTTTTACTGGGCGTTGACATAACACTTCCTTTGGAAAGAGAGAATTCATAAGATTTGAATACTTATATTTAACTAATTAGAGAAAAAAAATTGTAAGTTTTTGAAGAAAAATTTTATTTTCCATTAAAAATTCTCTCTAATTTATAGTTTTTACGGGAGAGTTTTAAATACTATGATAGTTTTTATATATTTATGTATGCATTTTTTATACTTCAAGTCATTACTCCAAGGTAATAAATGTTCTCACTAATTTTTCCATCAGTATTTCATATTATATACTTTTTTATTTTAATTGTAACATGTAAATACTATATGAATGTTGTTTTTCCTTTCAAGTTTATTATATGAATAACTCACTCGTTAATTAAGATAAAAATTTTCAGTTTCACATGATATATTTGAACCATATTATCTATGCATTGTATGTACTTTAATTCTTAGAAATTTATTTAACACACATAGTTTATATCTCAAAAACAAATATATTACGTAACCGCGTAAAGCGCTGGAACGCTTAATATATATGTAAAGAAGGATCATGGAGCTTTTCTTGGTTGCCGATGTGGCACATTATTTAAAAAATAAAACTCCCTAAATTTTCAGCAATTTTATTTTTCTTAGCTCGAGAAAATTTTACCTTTTAAACTTTTAAAATTTAATTATTTCCTTTTCAGTATTTTTATTTGCAATTTAATTTTTCTCTTTTGATTACTTGATGTTGACATTTCTACTTAAATTTAAATTGATATTAAAATACTAAAACAAACCTATATTTCTATTGTTTCTAAGTATTTCATCTTCTTAATTGAATTTTGCCAAATTTCTCTTCCTTTTCATCTGAATAAATTGAAATTAAAATACTAAAAATCCTCTTTCCATTAGGGGATGAGATGCTTACAATTTCTCTTTTAGATTGTCGTTTTACCGTAGACCAAAAAAACCTACAAGAGAATTTCTTCCAAAAAGATATGTAAATTGAATTTTCCATGTCAATAATATTTGGGATTTTTAAATTTACTTCGCAATTTTTATGGCTACAGTTGCATGATTCAAATTAAACTGAATTTACCATAAGAAAGACTGCATGTGTGTTTTTTCAGATTTTGATTTAAAATATAAAAAATTGAAATCGACGTAGAATTAATGGTTTTAGCCTTTAAAAATTACATATAATATATATAGTAAAATAAAATTTTCGACATTTATACAGTATATATAAAGAAAAAGTTTAAGATTCTTTTTTATTCACTATTCTTTTTTTCTTTTTTTTCAGTATTTATAAATTTATTTCTAATTTGGTCGAAAATTCAATTTGGTATTTTACTTTGTCGGCTAAAAGAAGAATATTGAGGCTTTACATTGCTTTGTTTGTGGTGTTTGCGTAGTTTAATTTTTTCAATTTCATTATCATTTTATATTTTGCTAATTTTGGTTAAGTTTTGTTTACTTTTGCAAGGATTGAAGTATGTGCAATAAAAGATGATGTAAATCTATTTATGCAATAATGAATTAATTATTACATTTTAATATGTTTCCTTAATTACGTCCTCTCAATAAAGTTAAATCTCTAAAAAAAATAAAAAATAAATATTTAAAATCTTTCTATAAGTCCACTTTATTTTTAATAATACGGTGACTTCTACTCAATACACTATCTTATATTTACACTTAAAATTAAAAACATAAAATATTATAGAGCGGTGCGAAGTGCGGGTTACCGCCTAGTATATATATAATTCTGAAGCAAATAAAACTTCTATAAGCCCATAAAATTGACGTCTTGCTTACTCGCAAGTTTCTTTCGTCTCTCGTATGAGTAGTTTATCGTCTTGCTTACTCGCAAGTTTCTTTTTCCTTTGAATGGAGGCTGACAATCTTTCCGTCGATATGACTAATCTCTCCGTCGACGACGATAGTGATGAGGGTATTATTTTTAAGGCAGATGAGATTAGCACAGAGGAGGAGGAGGACACTAACCCTAATCTTTGTTTGGTGGGTCGATTTATATCAGACAGATCCATCAATTTTATGGCTATGAAATTGACATTAGCTTCGTTAATGAAACCAGTCATGGGGATGCTGATCAAGGAGTTAGAAGGGGGGATCTATACCTTTCAGTTTTACCACAAAATTGATATGGAGCGAGCCCTCGATATGTGCCCATGGACTTTCAACAGGAGTTAGAAAGGGGATCTTTATACCTCCATTTTTACCCACAAAATGATATGGAGCGAGCCCTCGATATGTGCCCAGGACTTCAACATATCAACGTTCTTATCCTGGATAGAATGGAGGGTTTTTACCCATCCCTAAGGTACGTTGAATGGATTGTAATTTATGGATTCACCTGATTGGTTTACGCCCTGGATAAAGTCAGATAGTTTAGAATAAGGGTTGGCTGAATGATTTGGGATTTTGTGAAGACTGACCCTGAGAATTCACAAAGAAGAGAGGAATCTTCGCGTTCGTGGTTAAATGGGATATCCAATAAATCCCATTCGTGAAAAGCCAGGAATGTTGAGGCAGGAGACAATTCGAGACTGGTTTGGGTCCACCCTCGAGTAGAACGAACTTCCTGGCGTTGTTGGCCTTCATTTGTGGTATAGAGAAATTTTGTCCTTTGCCGGTATTGAATGATGAAGCTCCAATGATTAGGAAGTTTGGTCCCCATCTAAGAGCTAATCCACGACGTTCACAGCTCTCAACAGGGGCAAAATGGCTTCGCGATGAAGGCTATGTTGGACACGGCGACGCTCATAGAAACGGTGATCGGAGCCCAGGGGTATGACGACACAATTTTGGAGAGTCCATGATGGGTGGGATGCAATCTCCTTATTTTTCGAAACAAACCTCCAATGTAGGCGTGAATGTGGGAGTTAATAAGGAAGGAGATCATGCAACGATTGTGGATGAGAATTTGGATTCAAGTGCAGTAGATGGTATTTTAATGAATGATCCGAAGAGAAAAAGAAAGGGCCAGGAGGAGGAGAGTACTATAGCCCAAGATATCAATACAGAATATGGGTCTCCAACAGACCAACAACATGAGTCTTTCAAGGATCCAAAAAACGGGAAAGCGGCGGGTTCTGGTACTCAGGCCCGCCAACAGCAATGAGTCTGTTAAGTTGGAACTGCCGAGGGCTCGGTAATACCAAGGCAGTTCAGAATTTGCGATAGATAGTTTGTGAAAAGCGTCCTAATTTTATTTTTCTTGTTGAGACAATTTGTAATTCAAATAAAGTTAATGAAATACAGTCCTCATTAGAATATGATGATTCTTATGCAGTCGATAGTAATGGTCACAGAGGCGGGCTGGCTCTTTTATGGAAGGGGGTTAGCAGTGTAACTATATTAGGCTCTTCTCCTCATTTCATTGATGTGAAAGTGGTTGTTCAAGGTTAACAGGCTTCTATGGGCAGGCTAATAGAAGTAGAAGGCATGAAACTTGGGGTTTGTTGGGTGACCTTGCTTTGGTTTCTACTCTCCCATGGGTTTGCGTTGGGGACTTCAATGACATCTTATATAATTCTGAGAAGAGAGGTGGCCTTCCACAGCCGGCAAATTTACTCCATGGATTCCAAAATGCTGTTATGAGAGCTGATCTCTCGGACTTAAAATTAGACGGATACCAGTTCACTTGTGATAATGGTCGGGTAGGGACTGACCATGTGGAAGCTAAGCTTGATCGATGTCTAGTCTCTGAGGGATGGCGGCATTTGTTCCGTATGTCTAAAGGGTTGGTCCTTGACTTAACTACTTCTGACCATTTACCTTTATTTATCCAAGTTCAAGTTTA